AAGATGAGAAATATTGACATCTTAAAAGATCTGAACATCAAGGAAGATTGGCTAATAAACGGCATCCTTTCTCGAAAGCTGAAATATTTTTGTCACATCAAGCGCCACGACGGATTGGAAAAAAATATAGCAGAAGGATGGGCAGGGGCCGACCGACACGAAGATGGGCACAGGATATAAGTGACTCCTTGAGTGTGAAAGTGCGTGAGGTGGGAGAACTGGCGAGAGACCGAGTTTCTTTCAGGCAGACTGTAATGAGAGCGACGTTCTGCAAAGGACCTGCTACATGATGATGATTGAGTCACATTTTGTGTCGCAGTATAATCATCCACCTTGTGCCATCCTGGGCACACCCTTTAGAGATCACGGATGTCCTCTTCTTCGCGTTCACCGTTAGTTAAATCCGGCGGAAAAGTCAAGTTGTTCGTCCACCTCTGGACATTACTCTTGTTCCAGAACCTGAGTGCTGCGTGTACATCCCTTTATGGGATCTAGTTTATTGGTTTGCAGTATGCTGGTTCCTTGCCTCTCAGGCAGATGCTCTCAGATTTCAAAGGAAGCTCCCAGCTAGTCGACGCCTACCACATTATTTTTGTTCCCCCATAATGGGACCCCGGGACCCACACGGGGGATTATGGATGTAATCCAGCCCACAAATGCTGGCTTCTCTGATAGCACTCGTTCAAGTGTTTCTCTTGGACATCTCCTTTAGTCAGTCTATTTAATTCTCAGTTTTGTTTGTTTGTGGGTGACAATAATACTGAGGACACCTTTTGTCTTGTCACTTTTGAGCCATGTTTTTGGTATTAGATCCGCTGCTCCGTCAGCAGTTAGTTGTAGGACCTAGCAACCCAACCCTACATTTCATTTCTTGGCTGTTTCTAATTTTACTCGGCAATAATACCTTCAGTAATTTATCATTGCAACTGACAAGATAGCACTGTTAAATTCAACGCAAAGCGAGCTGCTGTCAAATCGTCCGTAGTTGAACCGCACCGGGGTATTCTGGAAGTACAAACTGCTATCGCGAACCCTACGCCTCAGACGTCGATACAACTCTTTCGTACCAAGAGGTTTCTCACACAAAATTCGAAGGTCAAGACAAAAAAAAAATGATGAAAAATCGTAAGTGAATTAACTTTAAAGTAGCAATATACACAATAGTAGTAATCATGTGAAAGCCAGATTTCATTAGTGTGTTCTGACCAAAAATACAAAATAAAAGTAAGAGAGCACATTATACACTGGAGGGAAATCAAGGGGGTGGAAAAAAAGGGGGGGGGGGGTTGTTAACTCTTTAACACATCTGGCATGGCTTGGGACTAAGAAAGATAAGAATAAGAAAAATGTATTATAATACTTCTTGGGGCACCTTTTGTCTTGTAACTTTCAAGTCTCGTTTTGGCATAGACCGCTGCCCCCAAGAAATGAAGTATTAATTGTATGGCATGAATGTTTCCACAAGATGGCATAGCCAGAGGTAGCGTAACGCAACAGACCAGGAAAATGTGTGGGGTGAAACTGAAGTTGTTTGAGTTTCGCTGACAGCAGTGATTGACATAGGGTCAAAGCAACGTTGTTAGGACCTACTCCAGAACAGGCTCACAGAATAGCTGCCACAATCGCAGGAAGAAAAATATGTCAAAAACCAAGACCGCAAGTTTGGTCAACCTGCGAACACACCGGACCCTCTCTGGGACCCAGCCTTTTGTTGGCTTGACCACTTGTTCGGAGGACAAGCGACTTCCGCTGGAGAACTTTGAGGGGGAGACCAATTATTTCGGAATTCCCGGGCTGTTGTTTTACTGTACAAACATATGGTTCGTTGTCAACAAGGAAAGGTGGGGTTGCCTTATAATTGGCAAACACCCGCCAGGTGACCACTCTTGGGACATACTGCAATTCTGGACAACTTTCTCTATACTTCTTCTTCTTCGTCGTAGTCGTCTGCTTCTTCTTCCTCACCGACAGTAAACTATGGCGGAAGGTTCTGCTTGTTCTTCTATTTCTAAGTTTTGGTCTTGTTTCAGAAGTTGAGTTTTATGTGCATACCCATTTTACAGATCTGACTAATTTGTATTTAGATGAACGATTCCTCGTTTCCCAGAAAGATGAGCACTGACTTTACAAACACCCCTAATTAGTCGCCTTTCTTTATTCACATTCATTTTGAGCGATGCAGTTATTCTGTTTTCTCCGTCATAGGATCCTGTAACCTGCACAGAGTTCTGTTCGCTAAATCCACCAGATAGTGTAAAGCGAAAGTAAAGAACCTGCCTTTCACAACTTAGGCACTAGCACCTATGGTGCTCGATCCTTATCGGTACATCCACGTCGCCTGCCCTTCCTTTCCAAATCATTTTTTTGTTTCCAGTTTTCGGTTGGGTCGACCTTGAAGCCAAAATCCATTATAAATATCATAATCCAAAATGATTCGAACCCATGACAGTTGGGGCGGTCAGGAAGATTCTAGCACTGTGCTGTCACGGCATTCTTAGTAGTCTTCTTCTTCTTCTTCGCGTTCACCAGTTGTAAACTCCGACGGAAAGTTTTAGTTGTTTGTCTACTTTTGGGCTCTAGTCCTGTTTCAGAAACTGAGTTCTTGCCTGCACAATCGTTTCACAGGTTTGACACTTCTGCATGCAAACTGTTGGTTCCTTGCCTATCAGGCAGACTTTGAAGGAAGCTCCCAATTAGTTGACTCTTACGACATGCTTCTGGGCAGACAGTGGGTCTATTCTTGTTTTCCCCACAATGGGACCCTACAACCCACACGGGGAATCATTAGTAGCCATCCGTTACTAATTTTTCAGTCTGATCGCCTTCAAAGTGACAGCGAATGAGGGTCAGTGCCACCTTATCTATCGATATCTGAATACACAGAATACAGTGCAATCGATGAATTAATACCCAAGCTATAGTGTTATCCAATGTTATATTTCTCTTCACTTTTGTTTCTTTCATTATACCCCTTTTCTCTGCCTTTTGATATTTCAAAATCTCTTTGTGTGTCAGTCTTTAAGTTCCACTTATAATACTGAAACTAGAATATTATTTCTTTGACCGTAATTAAAAAAAATTCCTATTGTTATTTCTTCCTACTGCTACTCGCTATCCTTCTGAAATTCCTATTTATTCTCCGTTCTTTCTCCTTTTGTCCTTTACTTGTTTGTTTCTCCGAGTCCTAAATATAATCCTCCCTTGTCTTTGTTGTCAAAGACTTCCTGACGCCGAGAAAGTTGAACAAAACGAGCTGAGCGAAATGATTAAATTCTCCTGACTCCTTGCAAAATAAATTTAACATGGCAACACTTGCACGTTTCCTCCTACAAGCAACAAAGATATGAAAAGGCAACATTCCCCTAATTTGTTGATCTTGAATAGACTCCTGGGCATACCGTTCTGGTAGGACAATGTTTCTGTGTTTCTGTGTGGATCCTACGACCAAATACACCGGTTTGTTTTCAGTTTGTTGATACACAACGGGATCGCCAACAACAAAAAAATGCCCAGAATTATGTGTGAATTTTGCCTGATTTTGTTTATGTTTGTTTGTTTGTTGTGGTTTTGAGCTTCATATCTTGATGGCCGTTCGATGTTTACATAATAGGCAGAAGGTTACAAATGCGCCAGAATTAGTGTGGAAGACATACTATGAACAAAGAGAAAGAGAGAAAGGGGGGGGGGGGTAGTGACAAACGGACGGATAGACAGGCAGGCAGGCAGGCAGGCGGGCAGACAGACAGAGGGGGAAGGGAACACAATTTTATTACAATATGGTCACAAATTGGGCACGGAGGCCCATCTTACATTAAGATTTCCTACCGTCAGCCTTTTTCAAAGCGATGGATATTTTATTATTAAATCCTGCTTTCATGATTTACCAATAAAATAACAGAAATACTCTGTATGTGCACGCGTTCATGTGTAAAAAGGGGGAATAAAATTTACTTTAAAAAAAGAACTTATATATATGTGATTGGGGTAGGGACAGGGCTGTTTAGTCCGCTTGCAAAATATCTAGGCGTGAAACAGACCATATCCATCGCCCCCTCTCCCCCATTGGCCTGAGCACCCAGGTTTCAGTGCAATGGTCTTTAGAAACATTACGGTAAAGCTGGAATTTGAAACCTAGAGAAAAATCACGTATTAGGCATTGCTAAAGCTAAAAGTGGTAGGGTCTGAGGAATATGCCAGACTTTAAATTTTTGTTGTTGTTGTTGTTGTTGCCAACAGTCGTTTACAGTTGGATACAGGTCAAAAACTTTCCCAATTAAAGATCATAGTCTTAAAATTTTATTAGAATAAAAGTGAGGTAAAAACAGGGTATTTTCTTAGGGGGTACAGATAAGTCAGCGGCACTAGCACCTTTTTATTATCATCGGTTTTTTTTTCTTTAAGTTACCCGAATATAAGCTTATTATAAGTACCACCACCTTTTTTAACACAATTTTTTTTTTGGGGTGAGTACCGGCACCTCTTTTTAAAGCCCTGGGTAAAGCACAGAAGTAAATGCGACTGAAGCCACAAAGGTCATGTGGTTGGTTGGACAACACTGTTGCAACTGGGGCCCATCTTTAGACTGTTGATCGATGCCGCACACAGCTGTTTCCGCTTTATCTTAAGTCAATAGTTCTATGATAAATTACTTTGTTTACTACTCCACATTTTCCACTTCTCCAATTCTTAGATTCGATTTCCTTTACATGACTTCATTTTATAGACGGGGGATGGGTGGGAGAAGAAATGACAGGCGGACGGGCGGGCGGTTTAGTAAACGAACTAAGAGAGTCTAATTGTTGGATAAATCAATACAGTAGTGGATGGACTGAGAAATCGATGAATGGATGGGTGTTTGGTGGGTGGATCCATCGATAAGTCGATGGATGGAAGGTTGAATTGACTGAAAGATAGGTAGAGAGGTGGACAGACAAGCCAGCGTTAAAAAGCTAAAGTGAATGACCACACAGAGAGAAAAATCACTGTCCAGTGTTTCTCACCTGAACCCTGGACTCCGGCAAATTGATCTTGAGCGCCACTTCTTCCCTCATGAAAATGTCCGGGTAACGAGTCTTACAGAAGAGGTTCTCTAGGATGTCCAGCTGTGACCGTGTGAAGGTCGTCCTCTCTCGGCGCTGTTTTCGGGGGTTGGCTAACAGAATGAAAACAATCAAATGTTAATTTACTTAATATGTCAACTGAAGGCGTTATACATAGCGGTTTCAATACTGGTTTCAGTGCGAAGTTTCCTCGTTACAAATTTAAATTATGACGCAGACAATATCAGAGTTTAAATTTTTTTTTTGCTGTATTTTTTAAGGTGACTTAGAGAGAATGCATTCAAGAAAGGTGGGAAAAATAAGAGAAACGTATGGACAACGTTATCAACAAAAGAATGAGGGAGGGGGGAAGATGGCAATATATTGACCACCGTGTAAGCAGATGACGACAAAGAATCAAACCTTGTGACCAGAAGCTGGAATAGAATCACTAAACAGATTCTACGTGGGAAATAAATGGACCGAGGAAGTCCAAGAGAAACAGCCAGACGGACGATAAACACATGTTATGGCAAGATTTGCAGAGGATAAATCAGAATGGATGGTTAAATTGGAGTCCAGTACATCGGTATGGCTGGATCATGGCAACTGGTGAATGTGCAGAATATATATTAAAATATAATAATGAACTGGATATAAATCCTTTCGACGGAAATACACAAATGATATATTCCATAGTTTCTCTGTACGTTTTACAGAAATCTTAGGTCAATAACATGTTCCTTCTGTTTGTATAAGGCAGGATTGTCAACACATACTGATACTGTCTTGGCGTAATTCAAAGTAAGCCGGCTGGGGATTATGGTTTAGTTTGTTACCATATTATCTGGTGCATCTTGCATGCTGTATGTCAATGAAGAATATTTTAAAATTAATTTGGCACTATACCTGAACAAACCTAAGACAATAACCACTACCGATGCTTCCTTCGATGTGTCGATGCATGGGTGGTTTATATATATATATATATATATATATATATATATATATATATATATATAATAAAACCATCCATCCATCGACGCATAGATTGATCCACCGATTTGGCGAAGTGGTGAAGCCGTTTGCATCACGACATGAAGTTCGTAGGTTCGTTTCACGGTTGCGCCCTTCAGTTTACCAGTGCAATTTTTACTGAGATCCCTAGGGATCGCCGCCAGAGCTGTGGAGTTCGTTCTCTGGGCGCCGTTTTTGTCAGAGGGCTAGCCGTTCTTCAGAAAGGGACCGAGCCATATGGGATAAAACCAGGTGCAATGAAGTCGATTCTTTCGACATTAACTTTACCTTTTAACTTTATATGTATATAAAGTGTATATATAAAGTATATATGGTGTGGTTGTTACACTTTCTTTGCTATTCCTCTTTTACTACTTCTTGTCCCTCTTTCTTCTCCCTCTATTCTTTTGCTTTTTCCTCCTCCTCCTCCCACGTATCGGGACTGCTAATATTTTTCAAGCTATAAAATTTATTTCAAAAGGGGGAAAAAAAATGACACTATGAGACGATCGATTTGCCTAGAAAACAGATGAAAGCAGAAATACTAAAGCAAACATGAAACAGCCTCAACCATCTCCACAAAAGAGGTGCCAGATATTCAGAGCGCCTCATCCCTGGGGCTACAGCATCTTCTATATTTGACCATTACCGGGCCGGGGAGTTGACAGTCCAAGTTAATCACTTCCTCACTTCTGGCCACTTGAATTGTGAGCTAATAAATCCAGTTAGGCCTGACAGGAGACAGCGCAAACCTGGCCGTAGGTAGGTCAGGCGGCAGTTGCGCGTGTGGAGTGAGCAAACATGATTAGGACCATGTTGACTTTTTTGTAGAAGAGTAAACATCTTCCCGGTAGTTGCAGATCACGTGATGTGAAGTTCTTGGATGTCATGTGACTTTTGTGATTCTTTATCTTCTTGAACAGTGGTTCTCAACCTGTGGGTCGCGTCCCTTTCGGGGGTTGCCTTTTTACAGGGGTCGCATAAACCATCGAAAAACACATATTCACTGAAGTCATCACAACATGCAGGACTGTATTAAAGGGTCGCGGCATTAGGAAGTATGAGAAGCATTGTTCTAGAAGATGCGTTCAGGGTACACAAGGAGTTGGGTAGTGGTGTTGGGGAAGGAGGGCGGTTTAAGTGTTGGACTCGTCTGAAGGTCTGTATGACTGAACCTAATGGTTTATTGATAAGAATCCCAGACTGGATGTTGCTAAAAGGGAAATGTGCTGAATTCATTTATTTCCAAGCAACGCCACTTGCTTTCATTAACTCTAAATTGTGTAAAGGTTAAAGGTTAAAATCGGCAGGACCGACTACTGCAACGGGTTTTATTCCATATGGCTCAGTCTCTCTCCGGAGAACTGCTAGCCGCCTGCAGAAAGCTCCGCGCAGAGCACGAACTCCGTAGCTCCGGGCTACAACTCACAGGGATCTCCGTAAAAAATAAACTCATGAACTGAAAAGCGCAGTCGTGAAACGAACCTACGGAGCGTGAGGCAAACGGCTTAACCACTTCGCCACAGAAACCCTCTCTAGAAACTTATGAACTTCTTTTTCATCCAGTTGTTACAGTCTGCAGTGTTTGCTACTGAATCATTTTTATTTTTAATTTTTTTTATTAAAGGTTATTAGCTGACTAATTTGAGACGCAAATCTGCCCGGGACTGAAAATGTGGACGATATAAGTGTATCGTTGAAATTATCATTTACTTGACATTATTTAACATAAATTACGGTAAAAAATGTTTGTGTACATGAAGGTTTAAAGGATTACAAGAAATTGATTGGTACTGAAATTATGGATTGTTAAGGCTATCGTGTCTGTCAGCTATGTTGTTCGACTGAACCATCAAACATGATTTTAATTACTGACTTTGGTTCCGGTAGCCGTGGTGGTGTAGTGGCTAGACGCTCGCATGTCTGTCTAAAAGCGTTTTTTTTTTTTTTTTTTCAAATCCCTAACCCTAACCAAGCAAGTCGAATTAATTATAGTATAACCTGGATTCCCTAGTGAGTCCAACTTAACACGGGTACTAGGATAAGTGCTGTGAAGTAAAGGCGATCAGTCTGATGTAGACCCCCCCCCCCCCTAACCATATCCCCCACACCAACCACCCCACTCAGGTGCCGATAGGTCTACAAGCGTACAATCTCAGAACAGTGACGAAATATCTGAGGAGAGTGAAGTAACCGAGAAGATTATTTTCAAAGAAGCATTATAAGACCAGACTGAATATAGTCAAAAAAATTAATTAAAAAGCAACCATTAAGATGATTTGGTCATCTGACCAGGATGTAAAGGTATGAATTACAACAAAAAGCAACGCTGGGGAGATAAAAAAAAAATCAGTGCAAGGGAAAGACAACGACAACAATAACATTCCTAGAGGAATGAAGAATAACTTATGTAACGCAAGGGAAAGAGCGCGCAGACCATCCGGCACCCCCCTACCACCCAACACTTGGCTACGGAAACTAGAGGAAAAAGAGAAACATTAAAATTTCTACGACTACTCTGTTCAAATGTTTGTTTACTTTCAAAGCATATTTTGGTAGAAAAGCTGGTACTTCAATATTAATTCACCCCAAACAAATGAAATTTCCCGTTTGGGTTTCCGGATTCCCATTGTTAAAAAAAATAATTGACCCTCTGCCTACCCTAAAGCATGTCGTAAGAGACCAATAATTGACAGTTACTATCCTTATGCCATGATGTTGATCTGTTGTATCAAACATGCCCGGTGTTGTTGTCGGAGGCCCTAATATAACCTAACAGCTGAGAGGGGTTTCTGGGACTGGTCCCCGGGTGATTCTCATCCGAATGGTGGCACTTTGTGTCACCAGTGTGTTTTTCGCTCGTTGTGGGTCCTGGTGAGGTTGAACTTCATTCATTCACACATTTAGAAACAAAGGTAAACAGAAGCTAGCTATCACTGATTGCATGATAGCTTTCATAAAGGCTACCGGCCTTTTGATATAAGTTTTCTGACAGAAGGATCGAAGAAGAAGAACTGCGATGATGAAAGCGCAGCATGGACGCTTCCCTCCAGGCCCTGTGCCCAAGATGTGGCACACAATGTCATGACTATCATAGTTATTTAAATGCAGACAATCTGGCTGTAAATGCATGCTAGCAATATTCAGTTCACAGAGTCAGCGCAATGAGCTCCCTTTCCAGATAGCACTGAAGAAAGAACGGAGACTCCTTCAGGCCTATGCTCTGGTGTATTATGCAGGGAGAAAACTTGACTTTCAAATTGAACACAATGCTGTTTTATGAGAGCGCCACCGGAGCTCCCCTAGATTTTCTTCCCCGCTTAAGTGATCAGCACTTTCCACCCTTGCATCTTTTACAGTCTCAATCTCAGTCCTCGCTACTGCTTCACTCCCTTCCTTCTACAATTTCGGCCTTCCATTATTTTCTCGTGACCCAAAAGTTCGCGTCTGTCCCCGCCGTACGTCGTCTCCCGTTCTAGAGGTATGGATTTAAATGACACCCTCATAAAAATGCAATTTGCCCATTGAAACGAACGGACGACCATGAGGGAGCAAATCGTGACGGTATGAATGGGGATGGCAACACTGAAGACATTCCGTCAAAGCGAGACCCGGTCTGAAGAACGAAAAGGGGCAGGCCATTGTGGGGGACTAAAATTTGAAGAAGAAGAAAACTGGCTCGAGGAGAAAATGAAAGGCGTCTCAATGTCGACGCCTCTACGACCGAGCGTTTTCTGAGACCTAATATTATTGTGGAGTTTGTTTTGGCTTTAAAATCCGGCAACTCGATCTACAAAAATGGGAAGAATAGAAAGGAGATCATCAAAATGTTAGTTCAGTGCGAAGCTGAAATAGCTCTATTTAAGCGAAGCTGTCGTTGGCGACGGCTGGAAGCTATGAAGAGTAATAATGTATTTGTTTTAATTGTGAGATTCAGAGTATCATAGACTGCGAAACAAAATGACAAGCGGTCGGCTCTTTGAGGGGTTATATAAGGTGATATCAGGGATTCTCATAATTCTGCTGTCATCAGATACATCAAGCACAAGTCTGTAATAATTCGCAGATGTCTTGAACACAATCGGAAGTCCATGCAACCTGTCTGAAGTATTTATCAATCTTCACTGATTCTTTGTGTTTTTCTTAGCATTCAGCGGCTGTAAAGTCTGGCAGAAAGTTCTGGTTTTGATCGTGCTCCATAACTTGTGTATTGCGTAAAAATCCGTTTTACACATCAGATTTATTTGTGTGCAAGCTGTTGGCTTCTCGCCTTTCAGGCAGATACTGTCCCACTTCGAAGGAAACACATCTAATTAGTCATCTTTTCGACAAGCTCTTTTGAGGCAGTCGCCCCCCCCCCCCCACCTGCCCCTCCTCCACCCACCAAGTTGCGTCCAGGAACCCACATCTTGAATGTTTAATTATCTATATATCCTAGACACTATGTGTACGCTGTTGTGCCTGTTGGCGTCTACTCCGCCCATTTCCCAGACAGACTGACCCAATTTTTCGCTCCCAGTCCGTGCGTTGGTGATATAGAAGCGACCTGTCCTAGTCATCGTCTTAAACGAAGTTTTTTCGCCAGGGACTCAGATGAGTATCATTATTTTGTACATTGGAGTCTTATGTAGTCACCTTTTAGTTAGAGCATAATTGTGTATGTGTACTGAGTTGTTCTTTATGTGCTGATGAAGGTTAATCGCCGCAACGTCCTTTGTTTATTGTGATCGATTTTGTAAAGCTAACATAAACTATTTGTTCTTTCTTACCAACTTTTTCTCTTAACTATAATTTCCCCCTATTTCTGAATTCATCAAATTTTAACTTAAACAGTTTCCTCTGACATTCATTTTTGAATGCATTTAACTTTTCTTGTCTTTAGTGGTTCTCCAACTTTCCCTTGCACGTGTTAAAACTGAAATAACATTGTAACTGAAAATACGTAACTATACCTAACTATAACTACCTATAGGTAGTTTCTCCCAGTCCTTAAGAAAGAAAATAAGGGTTTTTGAGCTTAAATGCTCAGAAAGATTATCAGAACACTACGGACACAGAAGAGAGGAAATACTCTATTTTAAAAGATCTGAACATAAAGGAAAATTGGCTGATAAACAGCATCTTGTCTCTGAAGCTGAAATATTTTGGTCATATCAAGCGTCGTGGCGGATTTGAAAAAAAATAATAGTAGAACGCATTGTACCAGGAAGAAAGGGCAGGGGATCACCAATACGAAGATGGGCACAGGATATAAATGACTCTGTGAATATAAAAGTACACGAAGCGGGAGAGATGGCGATAGACCGAATTTCTTTAAGACAGACCGTGATGACAGCGACGTTCTGCTAAGTACCTGTTCATTGATGATGATGATGATGATGGTGATGGTGATGATGAGGTAGTTAAAATACATTTTCTACTGTACACACAAATGTACTCACCGAACATATCATTTTGGTAGCCCATTGCTGTATGGAGCAGATCCACATTGGGTGTGCTCAAGGAGAGTCCGTTGACGCTGTAGGGACTAGGCTTTGGTGAGTGGCTCAAGGACAGTCCATGGTTGTGTCCATGGCCGTGTGGGTGGCTATGTGAAGATGGAGGATACGCCATGCTGGTCATAGTGCGAGAGTCGTGTATGGGGGGAGACAGGGAGCTCACGTCAGTCAGTTGGGCGTGACCTCCGTGAAGGCCTGCAGGAACTTGTGATAGACTAGAAAGGTGTGCGATTGTTTGGACCTGTAAACAAAGAAAAACCAATTTCAGTTAATCAGTCAAACAATCTTCTTTCTTTTCTTCTTTTGTCGTCTCTTAATACCAGGCTGTAGCCCAGTCTCGTGTTTCTCTGTATGTGTCGGGTGGCTTGAGTTATGGATTTGTTAATCTTTTTGCAGGTTCATCTACACTATTTATCCATATCATTCTTGGTATTCCTCTCGCCTTCCTCCCAAATGTTCTTACTTCAAAAAGTCTCACAGGCAGTAATCAAACAATCAATAAATCAGTTTTGGTATAGGCGTCGCAGGTCGACCCAGCCTAAAATGGGCACCAGGATGGCTGTCCTGCCGAAGTAAAGACGGCCGGCGTAATGCTGACCACATTATCCACCCAGTGTCGATGGTCTGTAAAATTATGGGCGCTCTTCCCATAGACCAGATGCTCCTAAGGGTGTGAAAAGGGATCTTTATATTCAGTTATATTCATTTATATATTTAGTCATTTTATCTTATCCTATAACAATTTTGTGGGTTTTAAAAGTCAGGACCGAATCATCAATAATAAGAGTCATTGATGGCTCTCCATCTTAGGAAAAATTTTCAAAGGAATGTCACCTTTGCTGTCAACCATTTCTGATGTTTGGTTTGGTTTGGTTTGGTCTAAACATTAGATCAACATCATTGCACAAGGGTAGTAACACATAAGTGCACCATTCTACTTCTAACTCAAGCCTGAGTCCAAAGAATTTCAGCCCAGTGCACAAACTCACTAGCACCGGCTAGGATCCTGAAATACTTTGATTAAATTTTCAACTCCAAACCTTGCCCTGGCAGCATTGTTAGGCTACTCTTTTCGATTTCCAACTGCCAAGAGATTTTTTTTTTTACCTCCCCATCAATACATACGGACATCCGATCTACAATCCGGAGACCTGATGTGGTAATAGGGATGTTTTTTTCTTTACACCCCCCCCCCCCCCCTTTTAAAAAAACTAATTTGTATATTCATTTATTAGCATCTCGTGTCGGTTTGCTTCTCCTATGGCTTGCAGTGTATTCTTCCATTCCATTCCATCCTGCGCATTCGCTTTGTATCTTGTATGTAATCTAGACTGACACCTCTGATCTCTTTCGTTAACATCCGCTGTAAAGTTTATCTTGGAAGTCGTCTCATTCTTCATCAAATTATCTATCATTTTAGTGTCTTTTTGTGATTTCCTTGTCTCAGGATCTACCTAGTGTGTATGTGTATGTGTGTGTGTGTGATATATATATATATATATATATATATATATATATATATATATATATATATATATATATATATATATCGCCTATAAACGTTGATATCAGCTGTTGTCAAGACATTTATCTTATTTATTTATTTATGTTTATTTTATTTTTTTTCGTGCTTGAATTTGTCCAAGTTAGTTGTCTTCAATTTTCTCAAACATTTGTTTTCATTTATCCTAACTTTCGCCTTATGCCAACTTCATTAGGAAATGTACGAAGCCAGAAAATAGAGTTTAGTAACCATAGAACTGAGATGTCTGAGAAGAACTGCACGAGTGACCAGAAGAAACAGAATCAGGACGGAAGGCGTGAAAGAACAAAACTGCAAACAGACAGCAAATCAAAAAGTGGGCCCACTTAGAGAGAATGCTATGTGACAGCAGGCATACACAAACAGAAGATAACGGCACAAAGCACAAGAACAAAATGGAAAGAACACAACAGAAGAACTCTGCAATAGCATGATGTGTCTCCAGTTTATGACCCACAGTGGATTATGGGCATGACCAGAGATCGCTGAAGAAGAAGAAGAATCAAATAAAATCAGAGGAGTGGTGCCAGCACGTGAACTGACACATGCTGTTGGAGATCACAAGGTGTGGAGAGGCATGATCGTCCACCCCAGTCGGCAAGGCAGCTGATAATGATGATGATTATAATATTTACTTGCCATCAAATCATCATCATTAAGTGCCTGGTCGACTAGATTAGTCGAGCATGCGTCTACACAATATGTGATCGGCAACTGCAAAAATCATTTCTCGCGTTGACACCCCTCCTAGCCGTGACAATATTGTGTCAAGAATCTTCTCGAGCTGCTTCCGTGGTATCTCTAGCCACAGATCTGTCTAGTGGTCACAGCATGTTCTAGTTTTCAACTTCTCACAATCCGATCAAAAATAAGCTCTATGATGTTTGTGGTAAGTTGTCTTCGAGCCCTCGCCTCATTCAAAACCACGAAATAGAATCTCTTTGCATTCACTGATTGAAAAACCCCGTTAGAAAGTTGTGGTTGTTTGTCCTCCTCGGGAAGTGTTAGGTGCACATCCCTTTTACAAATATGGCGTATTTGTATGCATACTTTTGGTTCCTTACCTCTTAGGCAGAAACAATCCAACTTTAAAGAAAGCCTCTAATTCGTTGACCTCTGCGACTATATTCTTGTTTTACCCACAATAGTAGGGTCACGGAACCCACACAGGGAGACTTTGGGCGTGTCTCTTGGTCGCTTGCCCCTCCCCCCCCCCTCCCCTCCACTCCTTCTATCCCATAAGAATGTGTCAGTCGACTTTCCTCCCTCTTCTCATATGTTTTCCTTTTACCGGGGCCCCAGCACTAATATTCTTCTTCTCAAAGTCCTTGCCGTGTGGCTTTGCTATTCCTGTCTATCCACAACCGTCTGAGACGAGTACTTTTCAATCAACAATGAGGGGGCTTCGTAGTCTCCAGGCATGGCGTACGCATCTAGTGCTAGAGGTTCCAGGTTCAATCCTAGGTAAGGGCAGGGATGTTTTTACACGGACAGGCTTCTAGTAATTCCCTCTGGTCTCTGGGTAGTGAGATCGGACGCCCGTGTGCATTTTTGCGAACGTAAAAAATCCCTTGACAGTTGTAAATCGAAAAGAGTAGCATAACTGCGCTGCTCGGGTAAAATTTAGAGTCAAAAATCCTACCTAAAATATTTCAGGATCCTTGCCGGTGCTACAGAGCCTGTGCACTGTGCTGAGCTTATTCGAACTCAGACTTGAGTTAGAAGAAGAACGGAGTACTTATGGGTTACTACCCGTGTGCCATGATGTTGGTCCGTTGAGCAAAACCACAAAACTCAATCAACAATGACACATAAACTAGGCAAATGAGGAATTGGTTCTTTTGGTGGTTACCTGGTTCAGGGGGTTGTGGTGGGAATGCTCCAGTCCGTGCTGGTGAAGATGCTGATGATGTCCGTGAGGGAAGATGGAAGCGTGCGGTCGTGGGTCTCCCTGGTTGGAGTATACCTCACCTTGCCAGTCTGTCAATCAAAACAACAACAGTGTGTAAGTAAAAGACCTTTTTCCTTGACTTCAGGCGTATTGAGCATATAGGTCAAGTGAAGTCTAGTATTGGACGTAAAATTCCGTTTCAAAGCGAACTCAAAGCTGAGACCACTGTGGTGGTAGCCAGCGAGCTAAACAGGGAGTTAATCTAGTTATCTATCACAGACAGAATGACAGACAGACAAACAGACAGTTAGTTAGACAGACAGACAGACAGACAGACAGACAGACAGACAGACAGACAGACAGACAGACAGACAGACAGACAGACAGACAGACAGACAGACAGACAGACAGACAGACAGACAGACAGACAGACAGACAGACAGACAGACAGACAGACAGACAGACAGACAGACAGACAGACAGACAGACAGACAGACTGGTTAATAAAAGATGAATATCTATTACTTCTTTTTTTTTTTTTTATTAAACTTTTTTTCATGTATTGAATAACAAACAACTGACTGGGACACTCACAAGCTGGGTTGTGTTGGTTGTATTGAAAAGAAGAAAAAAGAAGAAGATAAAAGAATAGAAATTTACCGAAGCAAAACAAAAATATGAAAGAAAAGGAAAATAAAAATAATGCGCTGATCGAAGTTTTGAAGCTAAGCTTCTGAAAATGTTCCCTGGCGCTTAATCAACATTGGCACTGCACAGATCGTAATCTGGGTGGCGGGGAATTTCTTCTTTTGCGTCGCATCATAATCTTCTTTGCTCTTCTCAGAACTCCTCCGGAGATTTCCGATTTTCAGACTTAATCGGATAGACCAGCTAAGAGATGTAATCTCAATCCTCTTTCTTATCCAGCTTGTGGCACTACAATCCGTGTACTACGATTTTATTACAGGACTATATAAGGCTGCCACAGTTCTGGGCAGTGTAACCATTTGGAAAGTTACGAGAAGACTGTTTATGAAACGTACTATTCATGAAGACGATATGTGAATTTTAAAAAATATTATACAAAATGCATGATTAATTTTAAATTATTGTTCAAAGTTTATGTACAATATTTCGTTACCGTTAGGGAATTTTTAAATACCGAGCATGGTTTGTCACGGAGCAGCCAAGTGCAAAAGAATTCAGAGAGGATGCGAACTGATTCAGTGCTGTTGTTTTCTAAATGAATCCGTTAATTAACCTGTTAGATATAGATCATTTACATTACTTCCACGCCATTACAAATCTGCAGCCAACATAATTCCTAGTCCGCTACATAACGGGTTGAGTGGCACTTGTCTAAAGCAAGTTAAAGAATTTAAATATCTAGGGTAGTATGTTCTCGGAGGAAGAAGACAAGATTGGGAGACATAAACAAGATGCCAACTAGCCAGTGCACTTACATACCAACTGAAATCGTTATTAAGACACTGAAACATAAGTATGAGCGCCAAGAAACATTATAAACAGCATATTCATACCAATACTGAGCTACCAGTGCCAGACTTGGACATTATCAAAGGCTAACCTACGTAAAATTAACACCTGTGAAATGAGATGCATAAGAAAAGCCGCCAACTTTACCACCCGAGACAAACTTAGAAATGATATTATCAGATAGACTGTAGAAACAACACCATGCAGCAAATTCATTGAGAAACAGAAAATCAAATGGTTTGGTCTACTAGTAAAATGCAGCTATAACAACTACAAACGCATGCGCTACACTTGAAAAGATCTGAAGTGAAATCAAGAGGCCGCCCTAGGACATATGGACTGATAACATTACAGAGCTTCTACATCGACATGGAATGATAATAGCCATTGCTGCCCATCAAGCAATGAATCGCAGAATGTTCCTCCCCACACGCTAGCTGGTACTGCGTTACGAGTACCCCAGTTATAACCTATTTTGGAGGTTCAACGCGATATCTAAGATTTACTCTGCGGTGCTTACCAGACAACTACGTCAAGCATGACCACGGAGATAACTGCTGCTTCCAGGGCACTCGCATGGGTAGCAGAGCAAGCGGCCACACACGCAGTTGTCGTCTCAGACTGCATAGACATGCTTCAGACAATCGCTACAGGTGGCCCGAAGTCGCACAAATGGTAAGTGAGGAGAAGGTGTTAGGACGATGTAAGTTTTTCAGAGGATACTTGACGTTCAGTCCTGGAGTTATCAAAGTCTACAAAAACTAGTCTTCTGTTAAAAAGCTGGCAGATATGACAAGCCTGCTCCTCTTTCACTTCGTTTGTTCTGAGGATTGCAACTTTTTTGGGGGGTTTAATTCTTACTTTTATTTATGACCAGCTTACACATCAAATAAGAACAGCACACAGAAAATCTGCCCAAACACTTCACTGAGGCAACCAACTCACAGAGCATGCTGAGAAAGGTGAAAACAGGTATGCTTCGCGCAGAGCGGCAAGCATCGCTTCAGAGGTCCCG